CAAATACCTGTACTTTCTACTTCTTACATGTGGAACACAAATACCTGTACTTTCTACTTCTTACACGTTGAACAAAAATACCTGTACTTTCTACTTCTCACATTTTTAACTCAAATACCTGTACTTTCCACTTCTCACATTTTCCAAACAGGCTGGTTTCTTTAGTTTGAATGTGTGTTTGGTGGCGTGATCATTATTATTTAGAGCCTATTTGTTAAGAACCTTGACCGAAACTTGGACTCAAACGCACGACTCAAAAGAAAGTTTGTTCAAAAAAAGTCTTTACTTTGGAAAAGTATAAAGTTCTAACAAAAATCACTCCTGAGAGGCAAAACGTAGCAAAGCAAATGACAAACTAAATAAACTTGACTACGGTCACAAAGTACAATAATCTCCTGTCGAGATAAGCTGGCTCTCTAAATGGCACAAGGCACAAGGCTAACTGGCACAGGACAAAGGGAGACAGGACTATTTATACATGAGGTAAGGGGGAACAGGTGGAAACAATCAGGGGCGGGGCTGACGATGGCGGGAAAACACACAAAGGGAGGAATTAAGGGGACCTGAAATGAGAGACAAGAGGTAAGTGCAAAAATAAAACAGGAAGTGCAATGACAGGACTAGACAGGTGAACAAAAAGACTTGACTAAACATAAATCTAACCTGGGCTATGAACTAAACGTGAAACAATAACATGAACCTGATTAACATGACATGAATAATTTAGCAGACATGACGGGATGTTACACTATTGATTTGAACACGATCCGTGTATCCANGTCCGATGATACGATAACGAAATCGATCATGGACCTTCTGCCTAGGGTGCTCTGGTACCACGTACACTTATGAGCATCCTTATGTTCGAACATGGTGTTTGTTATGGCCAATCCATGACTAGCACAGAAGTCCAGTAACAAACCACCACTCCGGTTCAGATCAGGGGGGCCGTTCCTCCCAATCACTCCCCTCCAAGTGTCTCCATCATTGCCCACATGTGCGTTGAAGTCTCCCAGCAAGATTAAAGAGTCCCCTTCAGGAGCCCCATACAGGACTCTTTCCAGGGTCTCCAAGAAGGCCGTATACTCTGAACTGCTGTTGGGTGCATAAGCACACACAACAGTCAGAGTTTTCCCCCCCATAACCCGCAGGCGTAGGGAGGCAACCCTCTCGTCCACTGGGGTAGACTCCAACAACGAAGCACCCAACCGGGGACTTGTGAGTCAATTAATTTCTTAATATAATCCTGAAAAGTTTAAACTATGGAGAATTTGGCTTTTTTTATTTGAAATGTTTCGTATGAAAATAGTATATTCTTGGCTTCCAGTTTTGTAAAAATGAATCAGTTGAGTGTCAAATAATCCCCATTCTCACCCAATTTGTTTAATGTTTCCTGCTTAGCTTAAAAAAAAGCATTTAAAAAAGTGATTGATTTGACGAATTTCTTGTTTGGCTTATTCCTTTAATACTAAATTCAATGTATTGAATATTTCATGTTCCTTTGTTCTGTCAATTCTGTTTATTTCTTCTGCACGCATGAGATGTTTTCTGTGAGCGCCCCTCCCTTTGTCAAGCTGTTGTTATTCGCACATGATCTGGTTGTGTTTTGCTCTCGTCTGGCGCATCACAGGCGGGGCCCGCTGATGATGAGGGGAATATTTAAAGCTCCGTGAAAGCGGAAGCCTGGCCTGCTGTTTGTTATCAGCTGACGACGGCTGCTAGCTAGCACAACGCTGAATATAGCATAGCATATAGCATTAGCTAGCGTTCTCATCTGTTGTTTCACACTCAAAACTAAATAATGAAACAAGAAGGAAACACGAGGATATTATGGCGGTAATACCTGCCGTAGGAAGACATTTGTAAGAAGAAGACACAGAGTGAGTAGACATGTAAAGCTTTTATTTGTATACCAGACTGACGGCTAGTAGGTAAGCTATTGACAGCTGGCAGCTAGCTAACAACACAGCTGTAACGGACACCAATGGTTAACGGTTTGCAGGGTAAATGGATATTGAAATTGTTTCAAGAACTTGGACAATTGGTGTTTATGTGTTAAATATGTCACTGCAAAATAGCTATACACAGCTAATGTATGCCGCCACGTCAATATTATTGTATTGACTTGATGTTAATGGTAATGGTTGCTTGATCTCATCACTTGATCGCTTTATATCGTTTGAACCATTGTTTTACAACTGTTTACCCCTTTTTACATACCTATAATTAGAATTATTATATTGCATTTAAGCTAACCAGGGTATACAATAAAATGTGTTTTCACAGGGTGGTTATTTTTTCTTATATTTTGAGACATTTACACAAACACAAGGCAAGGTAGGTTTATTGTCAAAGCACCACTTAACAGTAGGCATTTCAAAGTGCTTTACAAAAATGACAAATTAAAGAAACACATTATACAATTCCCTTTTTAAAAGCAGCAAAGAGAATACAATAAACAAACTAATATATAATAATACAGGTATAAAATACAAGAGCAAGTTACAGTGCAGTGTAAGATATAAATAGATTAATAAAAAGCAGTTGCAAACAGAAAAGTGTTCAGGATTTAAAAGACAAACACATTCATATAGTTATCTTTCACCCTTGGGTTTTATTTAGTTTTTTGGGGTAAACATATTTAATTTGTGTGCAAATGTTGCCCTTTTGCACCAGATTCTTTTTCTGACAACACAGGCATTCATTTACTACATTTCCATTTTATTACTTGATTTTATTTGTGTAAGGTTATCCCTTATTTTAACTTTTTTATTCTATGACTCGTTTCATTTTCATCATCTTATTTTTCATACAATTAACATTGTGTGAGGGAGCCTGGGTGGTAGCTAGTTGTGATACAGTGACAACTACTTCAATTATAATAATAGTATCATGGCAGAATATAGTTTCTGCACTACTTTATTAATGAATGGCCACGAGTAATTTAAAATGTACGTCTTGTAACAGTCAACTTCAAATGTGTGATTGAAGGGTTTGGCTTCCAATTAACATGATTGAAAATATATTGGTGTGTTTTATCCCTGTTTTTACATAAAGTACATCACTTCCAAACCTTAAAATATATGTTGTTGTTGTTGTCTTTTGGGGGCCACCTATCTGTTTTTCTGGGTCACGGATTGTTCCTTTAATCGTTCCCCCCATGCTGTATCAGTATGCATACTGACGCATAACGCAAAGCACTAATACTGAAATTGTTGCCAGTGCTTTGTAAAGAGGAGCATTGGCATTCTAGTTTCAACAAACATCTGTTTCCTGGCTGTTTAAATGTTGGAATTAACTATCCAAGTGTGAGCCAAATAATATATTTGCATACAGCAAATGCAACATATACAGTTTAAGGGGCTGAATATTTCTCTCACACACACACACACACACACACACACACACTCTAGTTGATTGTAACATTTTAAGTATTAATGATAAGGGGTTAGGCTCGATTTTTTTCCATAAACATGTATAATACTTATTGCAGGTGGTTTTTTTGTGGATTTAATTAGATCAGTGTTAAGCTTAAATGATTGTAGAGTGCAAGTTGTTGTATTTCTTATTTATAAGAAGATAGAATAAAGACAAAATCCCCAAAAATCATTTCTGCACCATCTGCTGTGTTAAACCTCTAGTTTAAGAACATCACAACACCGGTTCTGAGTACATAGGATTATATATGTATGATGTGTGTTTGGGTTTAATGCTATGGTTTAATAGAGATGTGTGTACAGCATTCGAGGAACAACAGTGACCCAGTATCACCCAAATAGTCTGATATGAAGGATCAACATGTGTCCACTTTCTTGTGTCTTATATAAGATGGGGGTGTGTGTGCTCAAGTTAAACTGTTATATGTAGTTGAGCTCAACTCATAATGAAACATCTCAAAAGTGCAAAATCAACATACGTGTCAGACATAACTTTCGGTTTGACAATTAATTTGTTTTTGCTTATTAGAATAAAATGTTTAATGTAATATCTTATAACTATATACAATTTTGCTCCAACATGAAACATTTCACACTGAAATATTCATTTATTACTGGCCTGTTACTGTACAGGATGATGATCAGCAGGACGAATGTACTGTAGGAAATGCAGCAGTCTGGCTCCTATCTTTGGTGAGGGGTTATCTGAGGGGAGGCAGCTGTTTATCAGTCTGCTGCACATCACACTCACTGTCTCTGACCAACAAACTTGCTTTATAACAGATTACCAGCTGCTTTGGACAAAGTGGTCCACCTCCAAAACTGATAGCTTTCTTGTAAAGGACACAATTTTGTCTTGGATGACCTTAGTTATCTTTACATGGCAGGAAGTTATTAAAGTACGGGGGAAAACGCCTTATTAATGGAATAGTAAATGACACAGCACAGTAGGTAATAGAAATGGCCTTATACAAACCATAATAATAATAAAGTATGTCTAATATATACAAATCATAAACAAGTACAACATATTAAACGTCTTATAACATCCTAGTGTTGTAAAAATGTCATACAAATAATTATAATAAAGTAATAGTATACTGTAGTGTGTTATAGAAAAGCGTCTTTGAAAATGGCTTAGTATAGAATATTATAAAAAGAACACAAAAGCCATAGTATACTGTGTTATGTCATATAAAATAAGACATTACAAAATTAAAAGTCATGGTTAAATATCATAGTTTGTGTAGTTTGCCATAAAAGTCAAAGTTTATCATGTCATTAAAAATTATTTATATCATAAAAAATATAGAAATGTCATTAAATACAAATGTTATCAAAAAGTCATAGTGGACTGGTTCCCCCGAGCTAAAAATACTACATAGTTATGATGTAGTAACTAAATGTATGAAATAAATGTATAAAAAGAAGTACAACATACAACTTGAAGTTTAAAATAGCATAAAAGGACATTTCCCAAGTCCATTTAAATTAAAACCTTCTTCTCAATCGGTCTCTTTTTCTCAATTTGTAGAAACGAACCCTTCCCAGCCTGTGGAGAGCAGGGTTTGTGCTTCCTGATCCCCAAACCAGCCTTCTCCTCTGATCCTCGACACCCTCACCTCAGACCCTGCGTACTGTGTCTGGCTGCTGTAACCATGACGACAGGCGGGTGTTGCCACCTGCCTGGCTCTCTGTGTGACTGTTCGAGCAGCACCGGCCTGTGTAAGAGCGTGAATGAAGGAGGGGGAGACGCGTGCCAGGCGGTCTACGTCACCCAGGTCACAGCCATGGATGGGCGGCTGCTGTCCTCTGTGCTCAAACCCATGAGCGCACAAAGGTGAGACACACACACACTCATGTTATCAGGAAATAAGTGCTGCGTCGGTGTGTTTACATGCACAGATATCTGCAGGACAAGACAAACGCATCACAGAGGTGCAACTGTCACCGTATTCATTGTACAGAGCGTTCTCCACAGCACACATCGTCATTGTAGGGAAAGAACAGATGCTACAAACACCATTAGTTAGCTCTGTTCTTTTTAAGTGCTCCATTAGTGTTATAACTCTTGAAGTGTGCCAGCATGCGCAGTACAAGGGCTGTAGTTGAGTATTAAAATGAATTCCTATATCTTTTCTTAACCACTTCTCCTTGGAAAACCACATGATGTTAGGAAATATGTGATGGAGAGTTCTTCAGGGCTTAGGAAAAGACAATCATGGAAGAAACAAGGAATGGTGTTTTGTATGTTCCTTTTTAAAGTAAGGATGGTGCAGTGTACCCTGTGCTAAAGGGGATAGGAAAGGACATACTGAATCACCTTTGCTTAGCATTTTGAAAAGCAGCTCTTATCGTGGGTCATTTCAATCAGTTAGGAACCTTCCTAAACAAAAAAGACTATTTAACAGACCTTGAAAATAATGGAATCATCTTATTGGAGTCATAAATATACCTGTGTTTCAGGTCCCTGGTGTCACACTTATGGCGCATTCACACTACAGCGCGGAGCTCGCTTTAAAGGCCCAGATACACCGGCCCAAAATCGGCAGTAAATGGGAGTCGGGCCGAACATGAGCGTGGGCACGCCCTATTCGGAGTGGTGTGCGCCGCACCGTCGGGTCTTTTCTGCCGACCTGACGCCTTTTCTTGCCGATTCAACATGTTGAATCGGCGTCGGGAACACCACCGGAAGTCATGTTTTCAATGGACGAGAGTGAAAATGGAAAGAAAAAAGCTATTTGTTGTTTGTTTATATCACGGAGTCTGTTCTTCTTCTCTGTCTTCCGGTTGTTGCCTCTTTTGCATGATGAATACACACNCTCCTGTTCGTTCATGTTTTCAATGGACGAGAGTGAAAATGGAAAGAAAAAAGCTATTTGTTGTTTGTTTATATCACGGAGTCTGTTCTTCTTCTCTGTCTTCCGGTTGTTCCGGTTGTTGCCTCTTTTGAATGATGAATACACACTACCGCCGCCTGCTGGTAAGTTATTGCCACTCACGCATACGCAGTTCATACGTGCTCGGCTCGGATTTGCGGTGTGTTCCAGTGCGCGAAGTCGGCAAATACGCAGGAGAGTCCGGAGACGCAACAGTCGGTGTCGGCGACTTCTCAGATGACTGGCCGGTGTATCTGGGCCTTAAGCGTGCCGAGCCGTGCGGGGCCTGTCTTTGGTTGCGCTTACACTTGGCCTAGTTCCGGCCCGGGGCTACTTTTTCACCTTTTTTCTGGCCCGACTAAATCGTGGTTCTATCGAGGCCAACAACCAGGCTGAGTCGGGCTGAGTTTGCTAAACTAGAGAGAGAATCGCTGTCAAGGGGGCTACAACTACAACAAAATGAACATAATTGACCGTGATTTATTTGTAATACACGTTTCAATTGTTGTAGTTGTAGCCCCCTTGACAGCGATTCTCTCTCTAGTTTAGCAAACTCAGNGAACACTAAAGGGAACAGCAGAAGAAGACAGACAGGAAGTAAGCACTAAAGGGAACAGCAGAAGAAGACAGACAGGAAGTAAACACTAAAGGGAATTTTTAAATCAATATTGTGAGTCAAGTTGGTGGTTTATTTAGTACATAGCCGTGTAATAAGTGGGATAATCGCTGCACATTATCCCTTACATAAAGTCTCCTTGCGTTACATATTCCTAAGAACAGGTCTGCATGTGTGTGTGTGTGTGTGTGTGTGTGTGTGTGTGTGTGTGTGTGTGTGTGTGTTTGTGTGTGTGTTTCGTTTGCCGTTCTCTTACCATGATGGTGGTCACTACAACGGTTCGGTTTTCGATGCCAGACGTGTCGTTAGGATGCAACGGAGAGTCCTGGGTCAGAACTAGTTTGTCGGCATCGTTCCAGTAGCCGATCTGCAGGGAAATCAAGAAGTTAGATTGTGTATATGTGTGTGTTTGTTCATGTGTGCATGCGAACATATTGTATAATGCAGCATGCACAATTTGCTTTGATGCAATCCCTGATGTGTTAACAGGAAGTGGAGCTATTGGCTTGACATCATTTGATGTCAAAGAACATGGAGGAAAAGCTCTATGTCGATATATCGTCAACAATTTAGTTTTGGTAAGTCAAAATGGTCTAGTATCTTACACCTGTGTGAACTCTTACCTGTTCTATTCTGTGTTTCACTCTTATAGCTGTTGCTTCTCTGACACCTGAACTATGTATTTCTCTACTGCAACTATTCGATGCTAACGTTATGGTATTTCAAGAAAAAGCCAACATTTATGAGAAAAAAATATATACTGTATACATGTGTCACAAAAAGAATCTTGTATTTTCACTACAATCAAAGTAGTAAGTGTCAAAATGTGTGGTTCTATTCTATGATGAGTCTTGATCAATGTCAATATTTCTTCATAAAATATGACATGTGTTACTGATGATTTGTTAGCAGGATTAAAGAAAATCTATGGCCTGATTTTGATTAAACTTGGAGAAGATCCGGTAATGTTTTCCCTGAATTGGACCTATTGTATTGCATGGTTTGTCAAATTAATGTTGACTGAAAATCCATTCAATATCTTATTATATATATATCTGTGTTTGGTACGTTCTGTTTTCAGTGAAGGTCTTTGAATTGTGTTAAAAATGAAAAGAATGTTGAACATAAAAGCCTTGGTCACAGCAGGTAGGTAGATTCATTATTTTCTCAAGCTGTGGTTTCCAAATCCAAAATACCACTTTCATGCTCATGTTGTTGTAATTTCAAATCATGCATTCATCAAGCTGTGATTCAACTTTAAAACAATAAGTCTTAACATTGACTCATTCCCGTGTTCTCATGCAATATTCCAGTTTTAAGCCCAATGTTGTGCTGCTTCTTTTTCTCCGAAAGCCATTTCATGTTCTCCTGACAGATCTGTCGTCTTCAGTCCTTCAGGGTCAAACTGACCGACTGGAACTGACAGACATGATATGTCGCGGTCACAGCATTTGCATCCTCCGTCTGTAGAGAGCAGCTACATGCACTACAAAATGTGATTTTTTTATAAAGTGGTGCAGGGATGATGTATTTTTAAAGTTAGAATCTCTCTGGTTCCCTCGACAGAAATGAAAATGAGATTTTTCCATAGGACTTCCGATTAGGCAGTAAATAACCTCAACGTTTATGATACTTAGATGTTTGTTCAGCAGGATCATCTCTACATGCTAACACTTAAAGAGCTAATGTTGGGCTATAAAGGAACTACAGCACGGTCACATGACTTCACGTCACCACCGCTAAGCTAAAGGTGGCTAATGTTGGGCTATAAAGGAACTACAGCACGGTCACATGACTTCACGTCACCACCGCTAAGCTAAAGGTGGCTAATGTTGGGCTATAAAGGAACTACAGCACGGTCACATGACTTCACGTCCCCACCGCTAAGCTAAAGGTGGCTAATGTTGGGCTATAAAGGAACTACAGCACGGTCACATGACTTCACGTCACCACCGCTAAACTAATGGCGGCTAATGTTGGGCGTGATGATGTTTAGTCGCCTCTTTTAGACACCNGTACNGATCCCATAAAAGTGTCTATTTTATGTGTCTGTGTATCACCCTGTAACAATATGCCTCTCTCCCTTTTTCTTTTTCTTTGTGTGTGTGTGTGTGTGTGTGTGTGTGTGTGTGTGTGTGTGTGTGTGTGTGTGTGTGTGTGTGTGTTTGTGTATCCTCACTGCAGCTTGTGTGTACAGTATAACCGAATCCAGGGCTTATTGAGATGTATAGGATGACACAGCTGTTATCATACTAAAGCTCCCGACTGTGTCAGCCATTCTGACATTGATCCTAGTGAGAGATCTCTAAGAAATGCACATCAAATCTAAATACACACTTTATACACTTACACTCATCACATTATGAGAACCAAAGTCAGTGTCTCAGTGCCTGCATGTGTGTATCTGTGATGTGGGTCACACTCATCTTACTATGCCCTCAGAGGTAGCCCCTCTAATCCCCAAAGGAGGGAACAGAAAGGTCTATGATGTGCATTAGTTGGATTTGGGCTCTGTCGCTTTTGCAAACCCGGTATGGATTTACTGAGGGAAAATGTAGCAAGTCTCTCTTCTTTAACCTCACAACCAGAGAGCTGCAAACATAATGGATTAGGGACAGTTGCCCCAGAATGCAAAATAATAGTTGAACAGTACAAAAGATTACGTTAAAGCCTTAGCACATAAGTCTTGTACCTGATTCTCAGTAACAGATTATTCCGTTGTGTTGGAATTCGAATAATATTCATGTAGTTTTTATTTATTCCAATCAATGTCAAATACAAGTTCAATGAGAAAATTGGAAGAAGCGATGTGCCTTGGATGGGTGAAAAAAAGAGCAATTAGACAATCATTCATTGTAAGCATTCATCATATCTTACAAATTTACTTTCTGGTTCAGTTTGTGGATTCCGAATGTTTTCTTGTGCCATGATGTGTTGTTATTGACTTTTTGAGCATGCTCACTTTCAATAATAGGATTAAACTGTTTGATTATTTGATATCTCTTATCTGCAGCTTTTGTGTGACTTTGTTTAAGCAATTTTAGAGCTCTCAGATCTCAGCAATTACTTCGATCAGTACAATGCAATCACAACTGATATAAATAAATGGACAATTCTCGCACCATTCTCACCTATATTCACCTTTTGTCAGCACAAAAAGGTGCAATATAGGAAGTACATATCTAAGCTTTATGACAAATGCATAGAAGAAGTGAGGATTAATCAAACTCCAGCCCAGCCTGTCACCGTGGTGACAGATTCACACTGCTCAGGGATCACACTGCCTCCCATGATGACCCACCATCCATTATCACCAGTGTAGGAACACATGCAGCAGTGGTACAA